AGGGCAGAGTAATACAGATTGGCAGGTGCTGTGTTTCCCCAGGGGTGAGGTGCCAGGCTGGTTTTCACACCAAGGGGGCATGCAATTGGTCTGCTGGCTCAGCTGTGGCTTCCCTAGGGGCAGGATGCCCGACTGGGTCATATGCCAAGGAGGCAAGCACATGGCTGGTTTTCTGGATAAGGCTTGACTTCCCCACTGGGCAAGACAGCCTGTTCCTTGGCAGGGCAGAGTGTCATGTGGACTCAAGTGACAGGATCACAGCTGTCTCCCTGAGCCTAGATTTTGAGTCCCTGGGGTTGGGGCACTGAAGCCACTAGGATGGAGAAAATGGAGTGCTTCCTAGACAGCTTGTTCCCATGGGTTAGGATGCAGGGCAGCTTGGCTAGCAGATGGTGTACTACTGTGTGTAAGCATGATGCAATGATGGTGAAGCCTCAGGGATGAATAGATGCAGTGACTACTGCCCCCAAGAACAGAACACACTCTAGTAGTTGCTCTAGTTTCAAGATGGTGCTGTGCAGTAGTAGCTTGGGTTATGGATGGGAGGAGCCACAATATGGGCTCTTACTCTAGCATAATGCAGCCATATGAACTCCAGGCAGATTCCAAAACTGGACTTAGGGCCTGTGAGAACTGCAGGATACTCCAGCAACAAAGACTGCCAGTGTCCACAGATATAATGGGGGCTTCTGGGGTCTTCTTTACCTTTTGTTTTCGGGAAAAACCCCTTCTAGGCCTGAATCCCAGCCTGCATTCCAAGCTGATCCTGACTGAGGAGACAGGGTTGCAGAGGCAGGGTGTTCCATTGCCTTCTTTATGTGGCCATCCTGAGTTTCTGTGCTCCGCAAGGTTTCTGCCACTCCCCTGCTGTACTTCAGTGCTCTCCTTTAGACACTCCAGTCAAAATGTAGTTGTTTCCTTATTGTTTCAGTGTATTTTAGGAGGAAAGAGGATGAGTAATAGACACCTCTAGTCAGCCATCTTGCCAACATCACCGACAATGTCTTTTCCCTTAAAATACTAGAAATATGGCTTCCATTTACTACACCATTTTTCTGTCTCCCTTTATAAAGTTTTCAGTGCACCAGGTGTGGTGGCTCATGCCTGTAATCCCAGCACTTTGGGAGGCTGAGGCAGGAGGATCGCTTGACACCAGGTGTTTGAGACCAGCCTGGACAACATAGCAAGATCTCGTCTCTACAAAAGATAAAAAATAAAGATAAAAAATAAACAGTGTAGCATGGTGGCACATGCTTGTAGTCACAGCTACTTGGGAGGCTGAGGTAAGAGGATCACTTGAGCCCAGGAGGTTAAGTCTGCAGTGATCTGACCTCCAGCCTGAGTAACGGAGCAAGATCCTGTCTCAAAAAATAAAATAAAGCAAGACATAAAGTTTTCAGTGAGTTGCTGTCTTTGCTTCACTTTCTTTCATTCTTTATTTAATATTTATTTTTAATTTCCATTACATTAAGGTTTAGTTTTTTGAAACACTGTCTATAATTTTTGACAAAGATTTAGAGCAACATAACCACCAGCAGAATCAAAATACAGGACACTTTTATCCCTTCAAAAATTTCCTGGCTGGACGCAGTGGCTCAAGCCTGTAATCCCAGCACTTGGGGAGGCCTAGGCAGGTGGATCACCTGAGGTCAGGAGTTCGAGACCAGTGTGGTCAACATGGTGAAATTCCATCTCTACTAAAAATACAAAAATTAGCCATGTGTGGTGGTCCATGCCTGTAGTCCTAGCTACTCGGGAGGCTGAGGCAGGAGAATTGCACGAACCTGGGAGGTAGAGGTTACAAATGAGCTGAGGTCATGCCACTGCATTCCAGCCTGGGTGACAGAGTGAGACTCTGTCTCAAAAAAAAAAATAAAGAAAGAAAGAAAGAAAAAATTTTTCTTATGCCCTCAATCCCTTTTATAGTCAAATCTTCCCCCATTCCTAACCCCTGGTAAACTCGTCTAAGTCCTTGTAATTCTTCCTCACTCTTCCTTGTACCCACTTAAATCAGTCTTTCATTCTTACCATTCCATTGAATTGTTCTTGCACATAGCATCAACCATCTTTTTGTTGCTGCATCCAGGGGTCAATTTTAATTTTTTAATTTACTCAATTTCTCAGGGGCATTTGATCACTCTTTTTTTGGAACTACTTTTCACTTGGCTTCTGGAATATCATATTCTGCTGGTTTTCTTTCTAATTCAGTATCTGTTGCTTTTCAGGTTCTTTGCTAAATTATTTAATTTTTTTAGAGTTAGGGTCTGACCCTGTTGCCCCAACTGAAGTGCAGTGGTATGGTCATGGCTCATTGCAGCCTTGAATTCCTGGTCTCAAGTGATGCACCTGCCTCAGCTCCATGAGTAGCTGGAACCAGAGACACATGCAACCACACTCAACTAATTAAAACAATTTTTTGACTGGGTGTGGTGGCTCACATCTGTAATCCCAGCACTTTAGGAGGCCAAGGCAGGTGGATCACGTGAGGTCAGCAGTTCAGACCAAGCTGACCAACATGATGAAACCCAGTCTCTACTAAATTAAAAAAAAAAAAATTAGCTGGTTGTGGTGGCACATGCCTGTAATCCCAGCTACTTAGGAGGCTGAGGCAGAAGAATCCCTTGAACCCGAGAGGTGGAGGATGCAGTGAGCCGAGATTGTGCCATTGCACTCTAGCTTGGGCAAGAAGAGTGAAACTCCATCCCCCTCAACAACTTTTTTTTTTTTTTTTTTAATAAATTTATTTTTTGCCACCCAGGCTGGTCTCAAACTTCTGGCCTCAATCAATCCTCTCACCTCAGCCTTCCAAAGTATTGGGATTACAGTCATAAGCCATGGCGTCTGGCTTGGATCCTTTGCTGACCTCAAAATGTTGGATATCCTCAAAGTTGATACCTAGACTTCATCCATACTCACTTCCCCAAATTATATAATTATGTCACCTCATGTGCCACTTAAAGCTTAAATGCAAGCTTATTTCTCTAGCTTTGGCCTCTCTTTTAAATACCTCTTACATTCTGGTATCTAATAGACATCTTAATAAACATCTTAAACTTAACATCAGGTGTTTAACAGGCATCTTAAACTCAAACAGATCTCTTGATCTTCCACCGTACTACCACCACCCCAAAACTTAACCTATTTTCCCCCACAGCTTCTCCAATTCAGGAAATGTCACAACCATTCTTCCAGTTTCTGTGGCCAAAAATCTAAGAGTCATACTTAATTCTCCTCTCTCTCCTTTTGCACTTTCTATTTAATCCATAGCAATTCCTATTAATTCTACTTTTAGAATTTATACTAAAGTCTGACCATTTCATCACCAGCGCTGTCTAATCTGAACCACTATCTTTACTCCCCTACACTAAATTCCCACTAATGTTCTCCTTGCTTTTCTTGCACTTCTATACTGTTTTCCTCACAGTGTCAGAGTGATATTGTAAATTAAGCAAGAACTGTCCATAGTTCCCCATCACACCTAGAATGAAATCCAAAACTATTGCCAAGTCCATAAAGTGCCCATGACTGGATCCTTCCTATTTCTCAGACACCGATAACGACCCCCTGCCCCCTTACTTGGTCAGCTCCAGCCGCCCTTGCCTTCTCATTCCTCCTTGTACAAGCGTGTTTCCTCCTCAGGATACTTGCATTTGATGTTTTCTCTGCCACAGATGCTCTTTCCCAAATATTCAGAAGACTTGTTTCCTGATTTCATTTAGGTTTTTACTGAGTCTATCTAAATCTATCTAAACAGTTAAGACCATCTTAAGATGCTCTGTATCTTATTTCTCTTCTTTATTTTTCTTAGAGCACCAATCACTCTCTGAAAGAATATTATATACTTATTTTTAAATTGGCTCTCTCCCACTGTACTATAAATTTCTTGACATCAAAGATCATCATTCATGTTCACTCCCATCACTCCAGGGCCATGCACAATGTCTGGCATACAGTGAGCACTTCAAATTATTTGTTGAATGGATAAATGTATAAAATATGATTTTATAGTACCTCCTATTGATTATTTTCTCTTACCTAAGGAACTAATTATTCAAGTAAACATTTAACCTAAGAAAAAGTAAGTGTCTCAAACCAAGCTTGGCTAAAATAGATAATAGTAATGACACGATATTTACTGAATAAGTAAATTCCAGGCACTAGTCTAAGCTCCTTAAGAATATCAGTTTATTTAAGCTTCACAAAAACTCTGTGAGGTAGGTGCTACTATTATCTACACTTTACAGACAAGGAAACTAAAGCACAGAGAGGTGAAACATTTCTCCCACAGTCACACAGCTTGTAAGAGGAAGAACCAGTACTCAAATCTGTGTCATCCAGCTACAAAGCCTGCATTTTCCCCAGAATTATTTTTTCTTCATTATTGAGCCATAATATTATGGTCAAATCCTTTGGACAGAAGAGAATTTTTGGAGAAATTTGAATTCCTTTTCTGTACCTAAGCCTCCTTTGATCTGAAATTGGTAAACAAAGGGTCTCTATGCATTGAGTATGAGGCTTTGCACTCTCCTTGCCTGACTCTGTTGTTCCCACGAAACAGTCAATACAAAGCTGGACCCTCAAGACTTTTGAGAGGAGGAGGTGGGAGTGGGAATAAGGAACTTGAAGAGGGAGCTGCTAAGTAATTAGTAAAGACGCCACCTCCTAATCACAGACAACACAAGTCATTGGCAATTACTTTCTGATCATAAAAAAGAGCCATGTGTTGTTCTGTGGGTAGGTGCTCTGTGGGTGATGCAGAACATGGGGAAAGGAGCAGAGAGAAAGAAGAAAAGAAGCGGGGGTAAGATAAGGAGGGAGGAAGAGAAGATGAAAGAAGGAAGGGGAGAAGAGAGAACGAGGGAAAGAGGGAGGAAGAGAGAGATGTAGGGAAGGTACAAGGGATGGAGGGTGTGGTGCTGGGGAAGCTCTCGGAGGATTTAAACTTTGGAGATGTGTGGGATTTGCTGCTCTGTACTGATCTCTGCTGAATTCTCTCCCAGCTCCACTCTGTGAATCCGCCGGTGAGTTGCACTTCCTTTTCTTCTTCAAGGTCTGTGGGTATTTTGTTACTTAGGTCAGCACAGGAGGCCTGCGGATTGCTGTCTTAGCAGCCCCTTCCTGCCCAAAACATATCAGGGTGACAACTACTGAGGTGTACAAACATCAGTGACTCCCTTGGGCCTGGGCTGCTCTGTCTTCACATCAGTCTCTGCACCTGACACATGTCTGCTCAGTGGGGTGAATAGGTCTTGCTCTGACCTTCTCAAGAACACAGTCTTATTTCTGGGAAGTCCCAGCACAGGGAGGGAGACACTGTTTGCACAAGGAAGGCAAAGGGTGCTGAAGATTCATGCTAGAAGCATCTCTGTCCTCCCAGCCTCAGGAGCTCCAATTCCCAGTTGTGCTCCTCGGCTGGGTGTATCACCATGGGTGATGAAGGAAATGCCGAAATCACGCATCCACGGAGAACATTAGAGTGAATCCTCCAGCCATGTGTGGAATGAAGTAGTACTGCTGCCTCCTTCCTATTTTTAGCTCTCCTCTGCAGCCACACCTGTTACCCCAACTCATTTTCTCTTTCGGACTCTGGTTTATGCAAACTTACTTCATTGCTCTGATCCTGACTCAAAGTCTTACCTTTACCAGAGGAGGAGAGTAGAGACTTCCTTTCCCCACCAAGGACTCTTCATTAGATCATGCTGAATGTTAAAAATGTAAAAATTGCTATCTTGTGCAGAAAATACTAGCCACAGAGTTAAAAGAGATTGTCCTGCCAACCTCAAGAACATCAGCTGCAAGTGCAACTAGGGAACACAGGTTCTCAAGTACCCTAGCAATTCCTGTGACCAGAGAGATTCAGAGAGATTCAGAGTCAGTCTAGCCTTCTAGGTTCCTTATCTAATGTTTGTCCAAGTCTAACTCACGACTTGTGTTAATACCATGCATGCCTTTTGTCTGGTCTCATCTTTACCCCTAAGCCCAAGTGCCCAATCCTAGCCTAAGCAGAAATCCAAAGCCATATCAAAGATGAGGAAACCAAGTTTCTGTCACCAAGTATTTTCCAGATAGTCTCTGCTATCTAAGAATTATCTGAAACAAGTTCTGAGCTGTAAGACTGAGTTCGAGACCCTTGCAATCCGTCCTGTCCAGTTTCCCACTTCATCACCACTCTAGCCTCATTGAGAATAGTGGGTTACAGATGCCCAAATACTAAATGCCCCCCCGCTTTTTCTTTCTGAGACAGAGTCTCACTCTATTGCCCAGGCTGAAGTGCAGTGGTGTGATCTCAGCTCACTGCTACCTCTGTCTCCTGGGTTCAAGTGATTCTCTTGCCTCAGCCTTGGGAGTAGCTGGAACTACAAACGCACGCCACCATGCCTAGCTAATTTTTGTATTTTTAGTAGAGACAAGGTTTTGCTGTGTTGGCCAGGCTGGTTTTGAACTCCTGACCTCAGGTGATCCACTAGCCTCAGCATCCCAAAGTAGTGGGACCACAGCCATGAGCCACCACGCCTGGCCTAAATACCTTTTTATTTATTGCCCTGCTTAGCTCCAAGAGCTGTGCTACTGGTCAGTCTTCTGGGGACCACAGTTTTCCAAGGAAAGACAGTGACTCTAAGATATTCCATGCCTTAGGACAAAGCGAATATTCTGGTACTATGGATGGAACTGATGTTTAAAAGTTTCCAAAAAAAAAAAATTTCAGCAGAAAAAAACTTAGAGATTACAGATATTGAACTAGGAATCACCCCTTACTAATCCAAAGCACTTGTCATTTTCTTCTAGTGAGGAAAGAAAGAAGTTTTGTCTTAGGGAAAGTATAATATTTTTCAAGAGGCAGAGGCTCTGAGGGTTGGATAAACAAATGTCCACACAACCCATATCTATTAGGTGTTGTGACATTTCTACGGGCTGCTGCAAACTGGGGAGATGAGGAGAGAGCAGAGCACAACTTTATCATCTTATCACCAGAAAAGAGCCCCAGGCCAGGAGCGGTGGCTCACCCCTGTACTTAGTACTTTGGGAGGCCAAGGCGGTAGGATCACTTCAGCCCAGGAGTTTGAGACTAGCCTGAGCAACAGAATAAGACCTTGTCTCTAAAAAAAAATAAATAAAATGAGCTGGGCTTGGTGGCATGTGTCTCTAGTCCCAGTTACTTGAGAGGCTGAGGTGAGATAACTGCTTGAGCCCAGGAAGTTGAGGTTGCAGTGAGCTGAGATAGCATCACTGAACTCTAGCCTGAGAGTCAGAACATGATCCTGTCTCAAAAAAAAAAGAAAAAGAAAAAGAAAAGAGCCCCTAATATCCCTAATATCCCAAAGGATTAAATTAGCTCTTTAGATCATGGTTTCTACAGAGGTTTGTAGAGGAGCTGTGTGGATGATGGGTACTGGGCATTTCCAAGCAAATACACCCCATTGCTTCTAATGGAAACAGCAATAATAGGGGCAGGACAGAGTCAGCGATGAGGGGATTGGATTCTCCTATGTCTTTTCTGGACAGATCAACCCTGCAGGTCCCATATTCTGTTTTTGAAAAAGATAGTGTGGTTCTGAGATGCCAGGGGAAAGGGAACAGAAGAAGACAATGAATATGGCTTACAAGGATAAAAGAAGCATGTTCACTTTGAATAAAACTTCAAGCTTCATCATCTCCAATGCCAACTCCAGTGACAGTCTTCAATATTATTGTACTGGCTTCAAGAAAGGTACTTTTGGTTTATGGATAGGAACTTCAAAAAATAATAAGATCCAAGTCAAAGATAAGGGTTGCCTTCTGCAAGATAACACTGCACAGGGGCAGGATGTACCAGGCGTGAGCAGGGTGAGTTCATGGAAGGCCCATGGACCAGTGCGGGGAGGTGGAGGCATGTGGAGTGGTCTGTGTGTCCAACTGGCTGTTTCTTTGAGTCTTGTTGGCAAGTGCTGTGACACAAAGTGCCTCTTACCTGAAACTCTGAACTCCATTAATCATTTGTGTTTAATTCCTCTCTCTAGGGCTGTTGTTGATAGTCAGCCCCTCCCATCCCACAGAGGGGAGCCCAGTGACCCTGACCTGTAAGATGCCCTCTCTACAGAGTTCAGATGCCCAGTTCCAGTTCTGCTTCTTCAGAGATGCCCAGGCCTTGGGCCCGGGCTGGAGCAGCTCCCCCAAGCTCCAGATCGCCAACATGTGGAAAGAAGACTCAGGGTCCTACTGGTGCGAGGCACAGACAATGGCATCCAAAGTCTTGAGGAGCTGGAGATCCCAGATAAACGTGCACAGTGAGTGTCAGTGGGGTCAGTCTGCCAGGATAGATAGGCTGAGAAGGACAGTGGCAAGAGGCTAATCCTCACTGTTATAGGTTATATCTCTGCAAGAGTAGGAGCTGTTTGAAAGATATTCCTGAGTTTCTCTCATTATTAGGATCCTTAAGGGATCTTCCCTTATTCAGTCTGTTTCCATTTAGGCAAACAGAGAGTATTTAGGAAACCCTTACTGTGTGTCTTCACTGTGCTGGAGGGTGTGGGGAGAAGAGCTGCATAATGTTTGGTCCCTGACTACACGAAGTTGATGCTCAGCCAGCACTCTGAATGACTAGGGTTAAATATGTGATGCTGCATTGTGTAGGACTGGCTGTTGACTACAGACAAGGGGGATAAAGGACTGAGGTACTCAGAGAAGGCTTTGCCGAAGGAAAGTGTAGAATAGGTTACCGGAGCAGGGTTTATGGAAGGGCAGTTGGAGCTTGATTTCCAAAAAATAGAAAGAAAAGAGTGCTTTGTAATTCATCTTGTTATTCCACGTCAGCGTTGACAATTCCAACATCCTCTGCCATTCTATCGTGCCATGAAGCAAATGTCTAATACTTCCAAAAGGCTGTGCTCTCCCACACTTGCTAAAAACTCAATACTGGTGAAACTGGACCACCACCACCACAATAATCATTGAGCAGTTTATACATGGCAGTCCCTATCCTAATGCTTCACAGATATTGTGTAATTGTGAACCCTCCAACTGCAGGAGATAACTGTCATTACCAGCAATCTTTTACATATGGGAAATTGTATCTCAGAGAAGTTGAGTAATTTGATCAAGCACACACAGCGAGTAAAAGAGTTGGAACCACTCTTCAAACAAGGCAGTTCGATTTACAATTTGGACTTATAATCACTTTACTATACTATTGTGCCTTGAAAAAATGAAAGTTTGAGAGATTAGGGTAGTGGAAGTCACACTGTTCTAAGGAGACAGCTGATGCTACACCTTCTATAGTAATACTATGGTGTCTTTCTTATCCTATCACCATCACCCAATCAATCAACAGACCCTTCCCCCTCACCCAAATTAAGCTATATATATCATTGACTTCACTCATGCTCTTTGCTTTCAGGACTATCACATCTACTTACTGTCTTTGAAACTCTCCCTACTCAGGGTCTTCCTATGTCATCTTGTGTTCACACAGGGGTCCCTGTTGCCGATGTGAGCTTGGAGACTCAGCCCCCAGGAGGACAGGTGATGGAGGGAGACAGACTGGTCCTCATCTGCTCAGTTGCTATGGGGACAGGAGACATCACCTTCCTTTGGTACAAAGGGGCTATAGGTTTAAACCTTCAGACAAAGACCCAGCGTTCACTGACAGCAGAGTATGAGATTCCTACAGCGAGGGAGAGTGATGCTGAGCAATACTACTGTGTAGCTGAAAATGGCTATGGTCCCAGACCCAGTGGACTGGTGAGCATCACTGTCAGAAGTAAGTTCCACTACCCTCCATTCAGCCAGCCAGTCACAAACTGGGCTCCACGTTTCCTTGGGGCACACAAAGTTTCCCTGGGGCATGCTGAAGAAGTTCAATGGGGCTGAGCATCGGTGGGCAGGGATTATGGGTTTGCTGCATTGTCAGAGACTGTCTCTTACAGTCTACTATCTCCCTCAGTCCCAGTGTCTCGTCCCATCCTCATGGTCAGGGCTCCCAGGGCCCAGGCTGTGGTGGGGGATGTGCTGAAGCTTCACTGTGAGGCCCTGAGAGGCTCTTATCCGATCCTGTACTGGTTTTATCACGAGGATGTCATCTTGGGGAGCAGCTCAGCCCCCTCTGGAGGAGGAGCCTCTTTCAACCTTTCCCTGACTGCAGAACATTCTGGAAACTACTCTTGTGAGGCCAACAATGGCCTGGGGGCCCAGCGCAGTGAGGAGGTGACACTCAACTTCACAGGTATAGCTCAGGCTATGGAACTGTGTTGGTCAATGTCTCCTTCCCAGCATCCTGGGAGAGTTTTGCTGGTTCCACTATGCTTCCGGCGGTGTGCTACCAATGGTGGGGCCTCTGTGTGAGGTGCTGTCATGAGTGATGTATCGGAGGGGCATGGAGAACTCAAGGTTGGGTGCCTCTCTTCTCTTTTCATAAATGTGATAAGCCACAAGTCCCCAGACAAATAAATCGCCACTTGAAAGAGCAGACCTTGGGTACAACCCACACCCAAGATGTCTGCTCTCTAAGCCCCAAGCCCTTCCTCTGAGCAGATCATGCACAAGTCTCTCCCTCTAGTGCCTACTGGGGCCAGAAGCAATCATCTTACCTCAGGAGTCATTGAGGGGCTCCTCGGCACCCTTGGTCCTGCCACTGTGGCCTTATTATTTTGCTACGGCCTCAAAAGAAAAATAGGTTAGTATTTAAAAGAGAGTGGCATTTTGTTACTGTGATCTTTGTTTTCACTGAAATTGTGACATGTATACCGCAAAAGATGTATATGCTGTTAACCACCTTGCCTGTGAATCTGCCAAAAACCCCAGCAGGTAGGAACAGTGCCTATTAACATAGTGTAACATTTTTGGTAAAGTTCTCCACCCCTCATATGCTATCAATTGAGGTTCGAGTGATATTTTGTGCTTCTGTGATTTAACTTTTATACAAAAATGTAATGATTTGGCCAGGGGTGGTGGCTCACCCGACACTTTGGGAGGCTGAGGTGGGCAGATCACGAGGTCAGGAGATCGAGACCATCCTGGCCAACATGGGGAAACCCCGTCTTTACTAAAAATACAAAAATTAGCTGGGTGTGGTGGTGCATGCCTGTAATCCCAGCTACTTGGGAGACTGAAGCAGAAGAATCGCTTGAACCAAGCAGTCGGAGGCTGCAGTGAGCCGAGATCGCACACTGCACTCCAGCCTGGTGAAAGAGCAAGACACTCTTTCAAACAAACAAACAAACAAACAAACAAACAAATGTAACTATTTAAAATAATATGCCACAGAAGAGAAATATGGTTAGCAGTTCCAGCTATCCTGACTATGTGCCAGTACTAAAGTCAGTGCATCAATTCTTAGTCACCTTCAAGTATTGTCACATGCTTTTTCTTTTCTCTGAAATGTACATTCACATGTCCACATGTTCTACTTATTGCTGGAAATTTCTCAACTTTCCTCTGAAATGTCATTTTTTCCAAGAGGCTTTGCCTGGCCTGCACAGCCTGCAATTGTCCTCTGCCGTTATGAGTTCCAAGTTATTTAGATTCACATGATATCACAATTGGTAATTACATATTTATTTATGTATTTAACCTTGGTCTCCTCTTCACTGAGGAAGTTGGAGACAGGGCAAGAGAGGACACTACGAGATTCTCATTTAAATTCCAAGCTTTTCTGACATCTTTGGGTACCTCACACCATCTATAGCATGGTTATGGCAGCACCTGCCTCCAAGGACTTTTGTCACAATAAGATTGGGTGGTGTGGTTGTAAAACAAAACCAAAACATACAATAAATGTACAAGTTTAGAGACTTGGGTCCCAGGTCCTAGATCTGGTACTAACTGGCTTTGGGAATCTCACTTAATTATTCAGGACTCGAGTTTCCGTCTGTGAAATGAAGGCTCTGGAAATGATTGCCAGGATGTCTGCTGGGCACACAGTGGCACCCGCAATGGGCATCTAAGCATGAGGCATATCCCTGTGCAGGGTGTATAAGAGCACTGACAGTGAGGGTTCTTCCATTTATGTGTATGCTCATTTGTTTGTTTTGCAGGAAGGCGTTCAACCAGGGATCCACTCAGGTGAGGCCTGTTTTCGCTGTATGTGCCAATAATGCAGAAAAATCTATTTTAAAAATAGATTTAGATTTGTTCTCTCCTGAACTTTTTTTTTCTGTTTTATTATACCCAGAACTCACTCCTGAGTTCTCCTACTGGCAGCTTTGAACAATTCATTGTCACTTCCCTTCTTTTAGATTTCGTACATTAACAATTTTAAATCTTTTTGTCATTTTTCCTATTGATCCCTTTCAATACCACTGCAGAATATTAAAATCACATCGCAGCTGGGCACGGTGGCTCGCACCTGTAATTCCAGCACTTTGGGAGGCTGAGGTGGGTGGATCACCTGAGCTCAGGACTCCAGACCACCCTGGGAAACATGGTGAAACCCCATCTGTACCAAAATACAAAAAATTAGCTGGGCATGGTGGTGCATGCCGGTAGTCTTAGCTACTCAGGAAGCTGAGGCAAGAGAATCCCTTGAGTTTGAGAGGTGGAGGTTGCAGTGAGCCAAGATGGCACCACTGCACTTTAGCCTGGGTAACAGAGCGAGACTCTGTCCCATAAATAAATAAATAAAAATAAAATCACATAGCTTTCACCAGGATCATGCATTCATTCAATCAGTCAACCAATATTTGAGGATCTGTAAGCCATTCCGTTGAGTGCTGAGAGGTGTGAAAATATAAAAAGCTCTTGAAAGTTCTAAAGTATTTTAGGGTAGGTAAGATACATGTACATTTCTGGAATGTAAGACAGACAGGAATAAACATACCAAACAGTTATTGGTGAAATTCTTTAGATGTTTAGAGGAGGAAAATATTTTTTAAAATACTCCCATCTAGAGATACCAATGTTTAGTTGTCTTTTTAATATAATGTATTTTCATTTATGCCAACAATAAACAGATTTTTTTTTTTTTTCAAATGAGAGTAGCACTCTTTCACTGGTACCTGCACAAGAAGAAGCATTTTCTTTTGCCCCTTCCTCAAGTTGCTTGTTCTGCCAAGCAAAGTGTTTTCCATCTGGAGTGAGTCAATATTTATTCGTTTAATATTTAGGGAGCACTCATGATGCAAATGACACTATTCTGGGAATGGGCAATACCATGCCTTATGCTCATGTGCTTGGTCTGCAGTGCCCCACAGCCTGTGCAGAGGGCCATGGCTCGTGCCACACTGCTGTGCCTTCTAGCTGCTCATTTCCCCATAACTCAGTATTCTGCTCAAGACCATTTGTCATAGGCTTCTCTCCTTCAGTGTGATATCTGCATTATCTGGGATGTAATTTCAGATAAGTAACATGTGTCTCTGTGTTTGCAGGAGCCTTCCCAGCCCTGTGCCCCAAGAGTTCCCCTACCTCAACTCACCTACCCCAGGACAGCTACAGCCTACATATGAAAATGGTGAGCCTTTCCAAATGACCCAGGCCAAAGTTGGTACAGCAAGCTTGGGAAGTGACAATGGGATAACATCTGCTAGCCAGACCTGACTTTGCTGTGCCCCAGCCTCTACTACAAACAAATGACTTATCTGTCTTCATGGCTGTGACAGGTGGAAGGTATGGAGTAATTTTAAAGACAGGAATCAGGAGCTGTGTCATGAAGTCTCCTTCCTTCTCTTGCAGTGAATGTTGTAAGTGGGCATGATGTTTATTCGTTGGTGTACTATAACCAGCCGGAGCAGGAATCAGCAGCAGGTGAGACACGGGGGAGTAAATTCGTCTCTAACTTTTGTCTTTCCGAGAACCAAGAGAACAATCAGTGGCTGTGCATGGCAGACAACAGCATTCTTCAGAGCAGAAGGCTGTGAGCATCACTGTGTATACTTAATGGCTGTCCTTGGGTCTGGAGCTACCTTGAGTAGAGCCCAGAGCTAATGCTAAGGTTCTTTCTTTTCTCTGGGGCTGGGCTCTCAAATTTCTTAAATTATAGTCACTTAGAAAGAGCAAAAATCCCATTATGGCCTGCGTTTTCCCAACCTCCCAACACAATGGAGGTAAAAACATGTAGTTAACAATAAGGTGTCATTGTAAGGCCTACATTTTATGCCTCACTCCCCAGTCATGTGGCAGCATCAGAGGTAATGGCTTCTGCCTGCCCTCTTTGAGTAGCCTGACACGCTCCTCATAACCCCAGCACAGCTGCCTAGCCGGTGCTTTTGTCCCATCCTACACATGGTCGGCCCAGAATAGCTGAGACGTATAAAGGCCCTTCCTGGCATAGGGGCTCTACTTACCTTCCCAGCCCCAGGCTGCCAATTTTCCTCTGGCTACTAAGGGAATCATACTTGTGATAAACAGAAAAGCAAGACAGAAAATATTAATGGAAATCAATTAATGGTAAATGGATGGGAGAGGAAGAAGATTTTCTTAACACAAGTTTAATGAAGGACTTTAAATGTATTTGGAATGTCATAGCACTTGCCTTTTCTCCGCAGCAGAAACCCTGGGGACACATATGGAGGACCAGGTAAGAGTCTCTATTGTTCTCTTCTCCATGTTCTTTCTTTCTTCTGGGGACTGGTTCTCAAACTTCTTAAATTGTAGCCACTTAGAGCAAAAATCCCATGGTCTACCTCTTCTCTATCTCCCAACGCAATTGAAGTAAAAACATGTAGTTACAACAATAAAGGGTCATTGTACAAGGAAATTTTGGAGGCTTAAAAATTCACTTACTTTAGCAATGCACACATGAATGATTTTTAGTTAAACTAGGGTGCATACCTAGTCTCAAAATTCTATTTATTGGAAAATCTTTATCCTAAAATATTATTGAGCCATACATCCATCATTTTGTATTATAAGGTTAACCAAACAATCTACAGCAACTAAATTAATATTGAACAAACCTAAGTTAATAGTAATTTGTGTCACTAAAAATTAGCATTTGGTAAACTTTGAATAATTCAAGATATAGCTGATACAAAAATACTTTCTTAAAACTGCAGAAATTCCAACTCTGTGCATGTGTGCAAAAACAGTAGGTGCTTTGCAGTTTTGTCTAGTGTAGTGTGGCAGCCAAATATCTCAGGACAAAATTCAAATCCCTGGTAAACTCCAGTGACATGCTAAATTTAATTTATGAACATAAAATTCTGACAACCTTTTAAAAGATGACAGCCCATGGGGCTGCCTAACAATGGCCCATAAGAATGAGGAAAGGCATTGTATGTTTGCATCAGTTTGCAGCTTATCAGGATCATCTCTGTAGTCTGCCAGTGGGATACAGGCACTCTGAAAATGCTGGCCTTGGACCACAGTTTTTCAAGAGGCCCTGATTTTTGCATTGTGTGATGAGCCATGATAAGATGCATCCAAGCTGACTGGGGAAGAGGACCAGCGGAGGCATATTCTGCTTGTCTTCCCTGTTCTAGTCCTAACCTTTGCTTCCAGGTTTCCTTAGACATCTATTCCAGGCTGAGGAAAGCAAACATTACGGATGTGGACTATGAAGAGGCTATGTAAGGTTATGGAGGATTCTGCCCTTTGAAAACCATCCATGACCCCAAGCCTCAGACCTGATAATGTTCTTCAGAGATCCTGGGGCATTAGCTTTCCAGTATACCTCTTCTGGATGCTATTCTCCGTGGCACTATTCCTTCATCTACTGACCTACTGTGAAGTGAAGTTGGCGCAGCCCTGAAGAAACTACCTAGGAGAACCAATAGACACAGGAGTGACAGGAACTTTGTTATCAGAACCAGATTCCTGCTGGCTCTTTTGAGAAAGGTCAACTTGTGCTCTTCTATTTACAAGAGAAAACAGGATGGAATAAAATAAATTAGGATCTTGGGGTGGAGGGACAGTGAAGCTTAGAACACATGAACTCAATGTTAGTGATTCTGCAGGACTTCACAGAGAGAGCTGTGACCATCATCATTCAGTCCAAGTGCTTTCTCTGCCCAGATAGCACAGAACTCCAGCCCTGCCACTTACATGGATCATCGAGTTTCCACCTAAAATATGATTCTATTTATTTTGAGTCACTGTTACCAAATTAGAATTAAAACAAAGTTACATAAAAAGTTATTGTGATTACACTTAATTTTAGTCACATATTCTGTATATATAGGCCAACCTATACCACATCCAAAATTATGTATCTACTACAGCCCCTAGAAGCTTTATGAATACAGTGTGTCTTTTTTTATTCACAAAATTTTTGAAATCTTGGTAATATGGTTTGAAGTCTGTATCTTATTTTTTCTTTTTTAAATTTGAGACAGGGTCTCACTCTGTCACCCAATTTGGAATGCAGTGGGACAATCTCGCCTCACTGCAACCTCTGCCTCTCAGGCTCAAGCAAACCTCTCACCTCAGCCTCCTAAGTGGCTGGGACTATAGGCACATGCCACCAAACCTGGCTGATTTTCGTCTTATGTACAGACCAGATGTCACCATTTTGCCCAGACTGGTCTCAAACTTCTGGGCTCAAGCAATGTATTTTAATTTTAAAACAACCAGACACTCATTCTTATGAATGAATAAACATTTGGAGGTATATAAAGTAAAAAGTTAAAGTCTTTCCTGTAAGTTAACACAAATGTTTACTATTGCTAAAACCTTTACAGGTAGCTCTCTAGATAATTTTCTATTTTTGTGTACATACTTATACATACATGTAAGTATAAAAACATTTAGAAGTATACCTATCTAACAAACCATCATGAAATATTTTCAAATAGATCTATTATACTATTTTAAAAGTCTCAATAGTAGTGTGTTATATAGATAAATCATAACTTTTTTCTTTTTTATTGTAGTAAAGATACATAACATAAAATTGATCATTTTAACCATGTTTAAGTGTACAGTTCAGTGGCATTAAGTACTATCATAATATATTTTAATCCTTCTCACCACTGGTGGACATTAAGGAGATTCCAAAAAAATTCATATTATAAAAACAAAGTTCAAACAAATGTCTTTGTACAAGCATATTATGCACTCCTGCTGGACTATCTGAAGGATAAATTTGTAAATCTAGTATTGCTAGATTATGCATATTAAATATTCTTGTTAAATAGTCTTCAATGTTTCTAAGGTAAGGCTGTATCAATTTATATCTCCACCCATAACATCTGGGAAATCAGTTTGTGGAGTGTGTTCGGTAGTTCTCACATTGCTAACAAAGACATACCCAAGACTGGGCAATTTATAAAGGAAAGAGGTTTAATTGACACACAGTTCCAAATGGCTAGAGAGGCCTCCGGACACTTACAATCATGGTAGAAGAGGAAGCAAACATGTCCTTCTTCACATGGCAGCAGGAGAGAGAAAGAGTCCTGTGTTCAGCCTTTGCCCATTTTCTATGTCATTTGTGTTTTTCTTACAGTTTTTATAGGAACTATTTATTAAGGCATAATTTATAACAGTGAAATACACAGATTTTATGTGCATAGTTCCATCAATTTGACAAATGTATGCATTCAAGTAATCCAAACCCTTATCATGATTTAAAGTATTTTCATCACTCTAGAAAGTTCCCTCATACTCATGTCCAGTCTATTTATGCCACTCTGAAAACAACTACTGAACATTATGCTTTTGACCATTTCTCCATTGTACGTGATGCCAATGTTTTTGTACAATCTTTCACTTCACTTTTTGTTTACAGTGAATTTTAAAATATGGAAGGTTAGTTTTTGCACAGTTGAACTCAATTTTTTAAAATCTTGGCTTCTAAGTTTCCTATATTTCTGTCATTTTCTATCAGACCATGTTGCCATGTTATAAAACATTCTAATATTTTCTTACAATGCCTCCATAGTTTTATTATATATTCACTCAATACATTATGTGTATATGTGGTATGAGGTAGGAATCTAACTTTTACTGTTTTTATCTTTATGTATTTTTTTTAATTTAAAATGAGGGGTAGGGATTTAACTTTTTTTCAAACACATATAAATTGTTCACTACTGTTTATTGAAATAGTCTGTTCTTTTCCCTTTTATTATTATTCTATTTTATCTCACTTAAATTCAACCTAAGCCTGTTTTGGACTCCAACTAATACTACAGATCTTCCTACCACTCTTCCCCTTGCATAATTCACTTCAAACACATTAGCCTCAGGTTTCCTCAGGCACATCAAATTTAGTCCCAGCTCAGAACTCTGTACTTTCTATTTCCATGCTTTCATGTTCTTTCTCTTGATATCCTTGCTTTCTTATTTTCTTCATTTACATTTTCTGTTTTGATTTTCTGTTTCTGGTCCATGGACATTTTCATTTTCTTTTTATAAAACTAACACAGCTTTTTTACATTTTATATTTTGCCTCCCAGTGCCATGTGCCTGGAGCTCATGGAGGGCTTCAAAGGATGAAATTGGAGTATCATGTGATCAGGAGTTTGAACTTGTTTGTATTGTATGATCATCCCTTCTTTACCTTAATACTCACATTAAACATTATCTATGGCTTCTTACATTCCACTTCTTCTTAATCAATTTCTTTCTTTAAGAACTTAAACTTTCCCATCATTTCTGATAGGGTCTGTGAGTTTATTTGTCCAAAAAGTTCAAAAGCAGAATTTAAGATCAATAGCATAGCTTTGTGCACAACAGTTGTCATATTTTATTCTATGGTCTTCTAGCTTCTACTGCTTTCTTTGAGAAATCTATTTAATTGTTGTTTCTTTATAATTAATCTATCTTTTCTCTCCAGTTGCCTTTAAGACTTTTATATTTGATATTATGCAATTTCACTATGATTTGTCTAAATGTGGATTTATTTTGCTAGAGATTCATAACTCAGGTCGAAGGTATCATGCCTTTTTTCAAGTTTAGAAAATATTCGGTTATTATCTCTTTATTATTATGCTGCTGCAGCATTATTTGAATTCTTTCCCTCAGAAATTTATGTTAGAAGTTTCCTAGACTTCATTCTATTCTCATGTCTCTTAATTAGTCTTGCCAAATTTTCATTTCATTATCACTCATTGCATTTTAGGTAATTTCTTAACCTCTATCTTCCAGTTTGCTAGTTCTTTCTTCAACTGTTTATATATTTTATTGTTTAACCTATTTATTTTCTATTTCAATGATTACATTTTTTGAGATTTTATTAGCAAAATGGTTAAAAGGATGGTTTCAGAGGATTGTCTGGATTTACATTTTGCCTCCATTATTTACTAGCTCTCCAGTTTTGGTTAAATTAATTAACCTTTTGTGCTTCTTGATGTGTAAAATTGAAATAACAATTGTACATAAATAAATATGGTGTTGTTTTGGTAATTCAGTAAAATTATTTGTGAAAATGCTTAAGACAGTGCCTGAAATGACATTGAGTCCTCAAAAAATAAATTATTATTGACATTATTATCATTCCTTCACAGAGTTTTTTGTTATTTGTTGTGTTTTACTATTATTGGCTTAACACTTGATTTTATGATTTTTAACAAGCTTAAAGTTTAAATACACTGTAATTCTCAGATAAATCTACTACTTGAAGTTTTAGACATTTAATCCTGAGTTTATCACATATTTTATTTTATTTATATTTATTTATTTAATGTATTTATATTTATTATAATATTTTTAGAGACAGAATCTCACTCTATCACCCAGGCTGTAGCACAGTGGCATGATCATAGTTTTGCTGCAAACTCAAACTCCTGGACTCAAGCAATCCTCCCACCTCAACCCCCCAAGTCGCTGGAACTAGTGGTGCACCGCCATGCCCAGCTAAGTTTTAATTTTCTTTTTCTAGAGATGGGGTCTTACTATGTTGCTCAGACTGGTCTTGAACTCTAGCCTCTACCAATGTTTCTTCCTCTCACGTATTTAAACCTTGTTTATGGTAGTTTGGTAGATTTTGTGATTTTACATTGAGAAGTGTCCTGTACAATGTGGGGATTCCATGTGGCCTGGGTTCCTTTATTTTTTGCGTGTGTGTGAAGGCTATTATGGCATTATTGGCAAATAAACATTGTATATATTTATGGTACACAATGTGATGTTTTGATATATGTATACATTGTAAAATGATTAGATTTGGCTAATTAACATATACATCACTTTGCATACTTACCATTTTTTATAGTGGGAACATTTACAAGGTAATCTTTTAGCAGTCTTCAAATATAGAATACATTACTATTAACTATAACACCATGCTGTATAATAGATCTCCAAAACTTTCTAACTGAAATGTTACATCCTTTGTCCAACAACTCCCCATTGCCCCGCAATCCCTGGCAACCACCATTGTACTCTTTGCTTCTATGAATTGGAGTTATTTAGATACCACAGGTAAGTGAGATCATGTGGTGTTTGTCTTTCCGTGCCTGACTTACTTCACTCAACATAGTGCTCTTCAGATTCATCTACATTGTCATAAATGATATAAGTTCCTTCTTTTTGAAGGCTGAATAGTATTACATTGTGTATACATACCACATTTTAAAAATCCATTCTTTTGTTGATGGACAGGGAAGTTGATTCCATATCTTGGTTATTGTAATGCTGCAGTGAACATGGGAGTGCAGATATCTTTTTGACATACTGATTTCATTTCCTTTGTATGTAAACCCAGTAGTGAGATTGCTGGGTCATATGGTAACTCTATTATTGTACTGTTTTCTATAATGAATGTTTTAATTTACATTCCCACAGACAATTCCCTTTTCTCTACAACCTTGGCAACACTTGTAATCTTTTGTCTATTTGATAGTAGACATTCTAACAGGTATGAGGTGCTATTCCACTGTGGTTTTAATTTGCACTTCTCTGATGATTAGTAATGTTTAATATATACCTGTTTTATATACCTGCTGGTCATTTGTGTGTCTTCTTTTGAGTAATATCTATTCAGGTTCTTTGCCGACTTTTTAACTGAATTATTTGTTTCCTTGTTGTTTACATGAGGTTCTTATATATTTGGCATACTAACTCTTGTCAGATATATGGTTCACAGATACTGTCTTTGGTTTTTTTTGTTTTTTGTTTTTTGGTTTTGCCGATAGTTTTGGGAACAGATCCAAAAAAATCTTTGTCAAGATTGAAGTCAAGAAGTTTTTCCTTATGTTTTCTCCAGTATTTTACAGTTTCAAGTTTTAACATTTAAGTCTTTAAGTTGATTTTTGTGTATAGTGTAGGATAAGCATCCAATTTTATTATTCAGCATGTGGATACCCAGTTTTCCCAACACCATTTATTGAAAACACTGTCCTTTCCCCATTGTGTGTTCTTGTTCCTGTTCTTGTGTGTACTTTGCCAAAGATCAATTGAGCATAAATTTTTGAAATTATTTATGGGCTTTCTACTCAGTTCTATTGGTCTATATTTCTGCGTTTATGCCGTTGCCATGCTTGTTTGATTATTAAGGTTTGAGTATATTTTGAAATCAGGTAATGCAATACCTCTAGCTTTGTTCTTTCTGCTCAAGAACAAATTTCACCATGTCAAATTAAATGGCATTAAATTTTAGCAGAATTAGTTTGCTGAATTGTTTTTTGTATTGGGGCCTTTTGTGGTTCCATACAAATTTTAGGATTTTTTTCTGTTTGTTAAAAATTTTATTCAAAATTTAATAGGGATTACATTAAATCTGTAATCTCTTTGGGTAGTATGGACATTTTAACAGTACTAATTCTTTCAATCCATTTATTTGTATCTTCTTCAATGTCTTTCACCAACATTTTATAGTTTTTGGTATAGAGACTTTTCATTTACCTGGTTAAATTTATTCCTAAGTATGTTATTCCATTTTATATGGGATTGTCTTCTTGATTTCCTTTTTCAGATAGTTTGTTGTTAGTGTATAGAAATGCTACTGATTTTGTATGTTAAAGTT